AGATTTTTACCGTCCCGAGGACCCCAGCCTGGAAGTCTACACCTTCCTAGCTGGCTTGCTAGTTTTCTAGCCGGTCCGGGTAAAGTGAGAGGGGGTTGGGCGTGAGGCTGGTGACCATACTTCACAAGACCAATCAAACTGCTACAGAAACTTCAGAACACAAGAAAAATATTAGAAACAAAAAAATATGAAAAGCAACTTGTTCTTCGCATGGATCGGAGAGGCGAAATAACTCAGAGGGATGGCAAAAGCCAGCCTTCGACAAGCCAATCACCCGATGTGTCTTCTATTGATGAAAATAAGAGTGGAGACGTGGAATGCAGGGTGCTGGGTATCTGTGAGAGCAGATGGATTGGATGTAAACTGTTAAAACTGTCAACTGGAGAGTCAGTAATCTACTCCGGTCTGATCATCCGGACGACAAACACGAACACACTGATGGAGTGGCAGCAAAGCCATAATGTGATGGGAATCAATTTCATCCAGGAGCATGACAGCGAAATTCAACTTAAAAGGAGGGAAGGTTATAATAATCCAATCCTACGCACCTCCATACTAAAGATCAAATGGCCAGCTGGACAGAAAGAATCAGCAACAAGAAACTCTGGAGATGAACAAACCACCCAAGAGACGGTCGCCTAACAAATATGTAGGAGAAAATGGAGGTGGATCAGGCATACCTTGAGGAGATAGTTGAATGACATAGCGCACAATGCAGACCATTGCTCGAGTGGAATCCGAATGGGGAGCGACGAGTGGGTCGTCAGTGTGAGGGTGACCTGTAGGAGATCGTGTGGCGAGGAGATGAGTGATTATAAGCAACCGTGGACCCACCTGAAGAGGGCAGCACCAAATAAAACAAAGAGTAGACGCGTTGTTAAAGCCCTATGTTCCACTCGGAACCTGAGAGAATAATAATACTCATTTCTAGTTTATCAAAACAGTGGAATTTAATAACTAGTAACTAATGGGATGTGTCTAGTCCTTTCTTTGGTGCAGACTAAATTCTATCAGTCAGATTTGTAATGTGGCCACCATTCTGTGTAGCTCGCCACCACCAAAGAAAGGACTAGACACATCACACTAGTTACTAGTGTCCAATCAAAGTATCCAGTACAGTCCTACTGAAAGTCAGCCGCGTGCCCGAATAGTTCAATGGTAAACTTACTAACTGTAGCACTGGGTGACGCGGGCTCATAACTTAGAAGGAGGCGTATGAGCTTCTTTGAGATTACAGATACGCTTTGCTGACTGGTGAGTGCAAACTGGCACGAAACCTAGGTCCAAGGCTGGGCCGATCGCCTCCAACCATCTAATTCCATCAAGTGGGGGGCGGAGGTGGGGAATTTTATAAAATACACTGTAACTCATTCTGAGTGAATAAAAAAAACACCTGGGTTGTATTCCCCTGGATGCCGTCACGATGAAAATTCCATACTTGTACCAAAAATACGGTGTGGAATCAAGATGTAATCAAAAATTAAAAAAAATCAAAATAGAATATCAAATAAAATTAAGGAAATTTCCATACAAATTGAAGATCATTCGAGTCTAGATGGCCAATGTAAGGATAGTGTCTGAACTAGCTTTTTTTGGACGCATAAATTAGGCTTCTCAATGTTGATTCCAACAACCAGCCTCAGCAATATTTAGTAAACGAACCAACACTTAAATATCAATGAGATGCTCACTAGCGACTTGCCCTATTCAGGTAGGTAGTTATCTGGTGTTCTAGTGAGGAGTCGTGACCAGTAGGGTGCAGCAGGTCGGGAGTGAGGAGAAGTACTCGCCAAAGACATTGGCTAGCGGTTGCACTATATCGTGAATTGGCAGAAGTTAGAATTCATGGACCATTGGATCGGGCCCCGATAGCTTAAAGGTATATGAGCTCGCGGATGCCGGCGCTCTTCACCGGGTTGACTGTCCATTGGATGACAGTCTAGGGGAGATGGCTAAACCCTGCCTGATTCCAAACCTCCAACGACTGGCGTATGAAGCTCACCGGCAGACGTATGGACAAAGGGCTTATTGGATGCCCTGGATGACTGGCCCCATTCAAAAAGGCGAATGAACCGGACTCCGGTCACCGGCTGCCAATGGATAGTGGACTCCCTACTCCACTCCTACTGCCTTGTAGGTCACACTTGGTTGTGTAAAGGCTAGAGCTGCACTCTCAAACAAAAGGCCGAGCGATGCTGGGGACATCACTCGTACCCAATTCCCATGAAACTTCATGGTTCATGAAGCCGGCTCATCCTCCCGTAGGAGATAGCCGAAGTAAAGTAAAGTAAGTAAGTATATGAGCTCGCCTTGTAACCAGAAGGTTTTGGGTTCGAACCCTGGTAAGTGCGTACTGCTGAAGGGTCCCAAGCTAGGACGAAACGGCTGGCTGTCCAGGTTTCCCAATGCTTGCCTAACCAATGTCAGCTCATGATGAAATCCTGGAAGTTAAGATTTGTTGGGATGCCGTAAATGACTTTGAAAGCAGCCTGTCTGACCACAATCTTATATTCTGTATCTACAAGATGAGATAGAATAGCGCTACACATAGATTTTGTTTGTCCTTTACTTAACCAACCACTGTGCAGAGTGATGTTCGGAAATCCGACCAGAAACACACATAGGCAGTAGAATTAGGCGTGTTTCTCGTCGGATTTCCGAACATTACTCTGCACAGTGGTTGGTTAAGTAAAGCACAAACAAAGTCTATTCGTAGCGCTATTCTATCTCATCTTGTGGATACAGAACACAAGATTGATGTCAACGAGGCGACTTTCAAAGTAATTTACTGCATTACCAGAAAATCTTAATTTCACCTTAAGATTTCGTTTAGTAGATATTTCTGAGGTTGGCTGTTGGGATCCACATCAAGAAGCAAAATTTGTGCCTTTAAGAAGAAGTTAGTTCAGACATTATCCTTACCCCACTGGCCATCTAAGTTTGAATGATTCTCAACTTTGCGTAGAAATTTTCCTAATTTTAGTTGATATTCTATTTGCTATTATATTATTATTATAATTTAAGCATCTTTAATGAACTGTAATTCCATAGTGATCTTACTTTACAAATCGATATTATTTAAAGAACACTGATATTGTTATTGACTACTAATCTAGAATATTCTATGTATATAAACATGCATATATACAATTGTAGAGCCAGAGGAGGGGGGAATTATCGAAAAGGGGATATTCTTTGCTCATTCAATTGTTTTGTCTTTTAGAGATGTCTGAATATTTTCACTAACTTTGTATAATTATTTTCCCACTTTTCTCCTAAACTACACATATCACCACCCCCCCCCACAGATTTTTCATATCATTTGTTAACTTCATCCTGAGTATTTTGTTTGTCCCTGCTTAGTCTTTAACTTTAATGCTTCTCTCTTCAAGATACATGGATAATGTGTTGTAAAAATGGTGATTTTGTTTGAGTGAATCAATGTCATGCTAACCTTGAGAGTGTGTGTTAGTGATTTACGCTAAGAGAGTTTCGATCCCACCTTGATTCCCATATACTCTTTTCTTACAGTTGAATATTTCTGTTAACCAAAAATTTTTTAGCCTCTTTATAGAGCTGCCTAACCACTCCGTTGAGGTGATTTAAATATTTGATATTGTTATTGTTGTTGAAGGGAATCATAGATTTCACGGTGTGTTATGTACTGTTGCTGAGTGAATTAATTGAGTTTTACCAGTCGCCAAATTATTGCTATGTACTGGTCAAGAATTTAATAGTCCTGACGCAAGCAAGACGGAAATCAGAAGACCACTAGGTTTACGATGATACTTCCATTTTCCAAAACACAAGGAGAAGCAATAAGTGGTATCACACCAAAGTGGTAAGTCACACAAGATTGTGTGAGCGAAATATATATGAATGTCCAGACAAGTGTGTGAACAAATCAATAGACAGTCTTAACATGAATGGCTAATTATAATGGAGTGTCGACCATATATACATAGCAAAATATAGCAGACATGTCAACAACCACACATATAATATGGATATATGTCACCAAGCAACGGACTGTCAACAAACACTCATATTATATATAATATAAGGGGAATATACATTGTTAAAGGAGACAGGTTCATCAAAGTGAAGTGGTCACAGACTAAGCGAGCAAACAGAAAGAGAGATCACCATATATATATATATATATATATATATATATATATATATGGATACATATCAGGTGAATAACGGTTTTGTGCTGTTGTTGGAGTGCTTCGTGACTGTGTGCGTGCGTCAAGGAAGTTTCGGTAAGAACTAATGGCTAGACACAATTGATGATATGAACCAAGATTGTCGTTCTCAATAGTAGGTGCAGATGCATTCACTCTTTGTGATTTGTCACATAAAATGAAATTCTATTGTTCTTTTATATTACTACTATTCTTTTATCTTCACTCACATTTCTGTTTATTATCTCTCTTTTTTGAACCTCACCTTATTCTCTCTTTTTGCTTTGTATGCTACATGGAAGGAGCGTGGCAACTCGAACTGCCGCTTATCCGTGAAAAGTTCTATATTGAAACCAGGTAGTCAGTCAGTTAGTTGGTCAGCTTCAAAGTAGGGCATGAAGATCGATTCCCAGTGGTCAGACCAGAAGTCCTTATATAAAGAATCTTCAAGTATACACAGTTATCTACACTAGATGATTTGAAGGAATTTTGTTCTATCTGAAACGTACTCATTACCACCCCGCCCAACTTATTTTTCCTTTTAAAACTAACCAAGTGATATATTACAAGTTATTCAAAAATGCGAAAGAGCAGAGACTATTCTTCAAGAATTTAAATATGTGGTTGTTAAAACGACGTATACAAATGAGTAAAAAATTTAACGCAATTTACTCTGTAGAAAATCAGAAAACGCAATGGATTTGAGTAGGCCGCCTTTTCAAACAGTTTAGCGGTAAACACTCAGTTATTCTTCATTTACGTAGTCAAAAGAACAAACAAATAAAAATGAGCACTTTTTGTGAATAAACTAACCTTTAGAGCCATCTTCAGACTCCCATACATTATAGTAAACACTATTTGAAGAATTTTGTCTTTTTAAAGAATTTTTACGCGAACTACCACCACCAGTAGGAGTTTTATTTTTGTTATCATTGTCGGAAGTCGCACCATCTCCATTCACGTATATCTCTGGAAAATAATAAATAAAACAAGCAACATTATTATTATTGGTAACAGTAAAGAATAGACACCAACTTCAGATGACCTTGAAACAACCAATCAGATTCTTCTGGGTGAAAAGTAAATAAAAAGAATTATAGATAGGTGCCTGTATTCTATCTCCCGTGTGAAATGGTATGACAGGGTGAGTAATATTGAGGTGAGGCATCTGTCGAGTGCTTGACAAGGAGGGGGGAATCCAATAGACGAGACTGTGAAGTTACATGGATTGACACAGGTGGTTAGGATAAGTGTTACGTACGTTTGCCTAGCCATCCGTTTGCATCCTCGACAACAGGCAATGTTAGCCACTGACATAGGGTCAGGTTAGAAAACAGCCAGTGGTGGTCAAACTAAAATATGACTTCATCAGTCGATGAAATCCACAACAGTTGTTAAAAGCCAGCGAATCACGTAGGAAAGTGTAGACTTTCTGGGGTCGTCAGGGCGGCAAAAACCAATGAAGGTTGGAGACAATTGGTGATATGGCCCAAAATCGTTCTCAGTGATGGCACAGATGGCATCCACTCCTTTTGACTTGCAATATCTAATAAAACTATAAGGTTCCTCTGTATCACTATTCTTTTTGTCTCTGTTTATTATCTGTTTTGAATCCTTTTTTATAAAATTATATTTGTAAAATCTCAGCGATATTGAAATGATGAATTCCAACGTTTCCCATGTTTGGCAGCCTGGTCCGAACTTCTTCAGGGAAATTAATCGAAATTAACATAACAGAGGTTTTTATATATAAAAGGAACATCTCTTGTTTTTAAAAACTTTGTCCAATCATGAGTCAAGAATTAGGCATCATGATTCATATGACAGGATAAACAATTTAAAACAAGAGATATCCTTTTATATATAAACATACAATTTTGTTTCTTATACATGTTGATACCTGTTGCATGGTTCATGATTGGACAAAGTTTTAAAAACAGGAGATGCTCCTTTTATATATATAAACCTCTGTTATGTTAATTTCGATTAATTTCCCTGAAGAAGTTGGGACCAGATTGCCGAACGAAACGTTGGAATTAATCATTTCAATTTCGCTGAGATTTTACAAATATAATTTTTTACAAATGTCTACTTCTCACTCGGCGCCCAAATATTTTAGAACTATTCTCTCAAATCTTGATCACAGTTCACATATAAATCTCTTTTTACTTTCTTATCTTGCTTTGTGTGCTACATGAAGGGAGTGTGGCGACTCGAAGAGCTCCACAGTGTTGCAAAGTTCTATGTTGAAACCAGACAGACAGACAGACAAACAAACAAACACTACTATATAAATTTCGTTTCAACTGAAGGTTGAATAAAGAATCTTGTTTGAAAGGGTGTTAACTATTATTAAGAACAAGGAATTGAGTACAACACATTTCCAGTGAGTGATAAGTGAAGAAAAAGAAGTCTCCATGGTTGAAAGAGAATTAAAGCAATAATCAGAGGTGTGAATTTGTTAACTCTGCTGTGAAAAAGTCAGACTGGTGTTATCCCAACCGATAATAGCGCCTACCTTGACGTTGCAATGGCATTTGCACATCGTTATGAATCAATCAGTGAACTACAGGCCCTAAAATACCACAAAAGTTTTTCGGATAAAATAAAAGCAGTTACCATAGTAGTGTCAGTTATTTATACTATGTTAGGTGTCTGTGGACGATGTTGTAATACTGGCGAGGAGGATTCCAACAGCAGTAAGATCTTCCCCTCAGACGATCAGCAGCTAAACGTTGACTCTCTGCTCTACAGAGAGAGAAGGAAAGACGTCAGCCTCAAAAGATGCACATCCCAATTTACTGTAGCCAGTGGTTAGATCTTAATATGGATGCCATTCCAAAACCTACTTCAAACAGACTGTGCGTGACCAACCTCAAGCAACTGTCCACTGGGCTCTGAGGTCACACAACAATAATCCTCCTTATGTTTCAGGTACTCCAAGAAGAAATCAATTTCCACGTTGTGGGCTTCCAGGAATTAATACACAACCACACACTTCCCCAAAAGTATATAAAGCTTTCCTGACGACCACCAATCTCAGGGTGGCATTGTTCAGACCATTGATTCAAATCATGTAATCTTTTCTTTGTCAAATTCAGAATGCGTTTGTGCGCTTGAATTACTGATTAGCAACAACCACTCCCCACCAAAATAAAAGTGTATATATCTATTCAGTATTACACTCGCTAAAACAAACTTAGCATAAAATCTTTACAGTAAACTGAAATTGTCATTTTTGCACAAAAAGTACATCATATCACTTAGTCAAGGTCAAAAAGTGAAGGTCGTGAATTGATAAATGGATCAGTTTTCACTATAAATCTGATGACAGTGAAAATAATGCAAAACAACACAGACGGAAGCTTTTTTAAAAATGTCAATGGAAATGTTTATTATCGGTTTAGGCTATCGAAAACAATAAAAAAAATCATTTGAGAAGCCGTGTCATCCTGAAGAGAATCAAACACGCACTGAGTGAAAAACTTCGACTGGAATAAGCTGGATTCAGGAGTAATAAATTATGCATCGATCAAATCGCAACATTACGGATCATTATTGAACAAAGCTTGGAATGGCTGTCACCTCTCTATCTCAACTTCATTGACTTTTAAAAGGCCTTAGACAGACAGTGTCGATCGCGACGTGATTCGGAAACCACTTCGCTACTACGGGGTGCCAACAACAACTATACATCTCATCCAAAAGTTGCACGACAATCCCGCATGCCCAGTAATCCACAAGTGGAAAACTCACGGAATTCTTCAAAGTGAAGAAGGGAGTAAGACTAGACTGTCTACTATCGCCAGTGATTTTTCTGATTACGGTAGACTGGATAATGCAACAGAAATACAGCGGCAACGAGGAGACAGGCCTAAAATGGACCCACACAAAAAACTTGGGGAATCTCGACTTCGCCGACGATATATGTCTGATTTCCCACACACTGAAAGATATACAAGTGAGTCAGATGAAGACGTTGGCAGAGAACAGAATGTGCAATGTAGACGTGAGTCTGAAGCCCTATGTTCCTCTAGGAATTAAAGGAAGCAATAACAATAGTAATGAGAAATTGGTATATATATATCACCTAAGATATATAGTGAACTTAACCATGAATTTCAACTTCTACCTATTATTCCGATGCTCGCTAGTGACTTGTTACAGGACGGAGTTTACTGGAGTTGTGACCAGTGAGGTCCATCCAGATGTCACGTGTGAGGATGGATGTTCCACCGATGACATTGGATGGGGTTGCGTTAAATCACGAATTGGTAGAAGTTAGAATTCATGAATTGGCCATTGAATCGGGTACCAGTGGTTGAATGGTATACGAGCTTACCTTGTAATCAGAAGGTCTTGAGTTCAAACCCTGTTGATGGGTACGTACTGCCGATGATTCACAAACTAGGATTAAAGTTTTTTTCCTTTTTCGAAATTATTTCTCTCTCTTTCGTTTAGCTTTGTATGATTAATAGAGTGTTTGGCATTTCCCAGTTAATACGACTTCTGGCGTAGGACGTGATATCCCGTTGTCTACCAAAGAGCGTGTATACTGCTCAACAGTTCACCTGGTCCTGCTAATTTATAGCTGTGAGACGTGGACACTGAACATCGAAGACATGAAAAGGTCAACTAGCTGTCTTAGTTCTATCTACCCCTCCCCCCCCGTGTTGGGCGGTAGGTGTAATCGTCTGATTAATATTGAGGTTAGCCATCAATAGACTGGTAGGTAAGCAGAGGAAATCAATTGATGAGGTTATCAATTTACATCGATTGAGATGGTTACGAAAAGTGTTACGCATTCCTTGTTATTGCCTTCTCCGATAGCTCACATAGGATGAGGTTAGAAAGGATATAGTGGAGGTCAAACCAAAATATGGTTTCATCCGTCAATGAATTCATAACTGTTATATAGACAGCCAGCCAGCCACTTAGACAGGTGTAAACTACGTGACTGACTGGTAGGGGTATCCTGGCTTCTAAGGACCAATGAAAGCTGGAGACAATTGGTGATGTAGCTGACTGAAAATCGTTCTCAATGGCGATGCAGATGCATTCATTCTTTGTGATTTGTCGCTGTTTTTTTTGTTGCTTTATATGCTACCTGGATGGAGTGTGGCAACTCGAACTGCTGCAAATCTGTGCAAAGTTCTCTGATGAAACCAGTAAGTCAGTCAGTCAGGGAGCCTTAGACCTAGGATCATCAATGTCCCGTGCGGATTATTGTTCAATTATATCGTAAACAAGTTACACAAATAAGAATTAGAAGTTGACTACATTCATTACAAAGCAAGTGTTGGTTTTTAGAAGGCAACTACAATTTAATTGCCAAAACAGTAAGCCAACCAACTTCAATAACAATAAACCGATGGTATTTTAAGCAGAAGAGAACTACTTGAAATAGAACAGAACAAAACAAAACTAGAAGAGGTTCAAATTGTGCAATTATTCTTCACGGGTAAACAATAATTAGTTGTTTATTTATTTATTTTTGATGAGTTCACCATCTGTTCGATTTTGTTAAACAAACCTCCATTAAATTTTTAAAACAATACAAATAGAACAATTAAGAAAGAAAACACGACTAACGATAAGAACTAAGGGAACATACAATTCCTCCCGCCCCTCTCTCTCTCTGTCACTCTCTTTGATAAAAGCCGAATATGTCTGCCTCTGTCTGCATTTTTTAGACATAGAACTTTGCACCGATGTGTACCAGTTCAAGTCACCACACTCTCTCCATGTAGCACACAAAGCAAGAGAAGAAAGTAAAAGAAATGTATATTAGAGACAGTAAACAGAGGTATGAGACAAAAGAATAGTAATAACTATTTTATATTTTTTATATTTTTGATTACAGCTTGATTCCACATCGTATTTTCGATACAAGTATGGAATTTTCAGCATGTGATATCAGTAGCCCAAATTTTGCAGGCCGACCATCGATATCAGGTGTGCGTCGGCGG